GTATACAGAAATTTGATTTTTTTTGCTTATTTTCTTAGCATGTTGAATTTATTAGCTCAGCTACAAAGGAGCTTTTATGTGGCAACAAGCTTTCATTTACAGACAAAGGTACATTTCACTAACAAATTATATAAACAAGCTTTATAACTACTTTTTTATATTTATTATTATTTTTTTGTTATTCATAAAGACAGTTAACAATAAATTTACACATTCATTAAATATTATTTATTTAATAAGTTTGCATTTAATAAGATATTGTAATTTTGCATTTTAAAATAAATTTACTGTACATAAATTAAATTTGAAATTTTTGAAAAATGTTTTTTTTTTTTAAATGAATGTTTCTTAAATATGTGCTTCTTAAAATATGTAGCTTGAAATATATGCTTCATAAAATATATGCTTCTAAAAATATCTATTTTATATTCTATAGCAGAAAACAACTTCAAGAATCTTAATCTTTGTGAAGTATATTTGGGGAAAGATTTGCATGAAGGTATAAACTTATGTGTTAGATTATTCTTTAGGTATTATTCATCTAAAGGTATTCATCTAAAGGTATCTTTAGGTATTATTCATCTTAATAATAGTTATTTGCTTCTTTATTTTTATTATTATTTGTATTTAGTTTTTAACAATAATTTCAATAAGTATTATAGCCAGCTGATTAAGTTAGACATTCAGTTGAAATTATACTTGTTAACTTTCTCAATGTTGGGTTAACCATTTTCTTTTGTTGCAACTCTAAATCATCTATTATAACTCTAAATCATTTAGTATCTGATTCATAATGGTTGAGTGAAAGTTTGTAAATCTAGTATAATACAAGATCTTAATTAAAAACTTGTGGTTATATTGTTAAACAATATAACCACAGGTGGTTATATTTTATAACAATATAACCACCTGCGTCACAGCATGATATATTATTATATATTACAAATGTTTATCATTGTATATTACAAATGTTTATCATTGTATATTACAAATGTTTATATAATACAAATGAATATTGTTAATACTAATATATAATATAAACCTAGCAAAACGCTAAAATTATGAGTTTTAAAGGTAAAAAAATATTAGTGCAAAATATAACCAGGGCTTATTAAAAAGAAAGCTTGTGACAAATTTCTCCATTCGATCAATTGAAATAAAATCAAAAAAAGTGAGTATTTTTAGCTTACTATTCACCCGATTTCAAAGTGGAAGGAAACAACCAAACCATACTAGACGGCTGAACGGAACTTACTAATGTACCACACCATTACTTCTGTAGACATAAACAGTCTCTAATATCAGTAAATCTAGTATTTGTTGTTTGTTGCATATGATCTATGGATCGAGTGACTAGAGTGTTAGTTTCTTTCTCTGCCCTTTGACCTATGTTTTTCTACTTTACAAGAGTGTTACAACTCATTTTATATGGTTTTTATTTTTTATTCAATAACACCATCTACAATAGGAATGTACCAGAATTCCAGCCGGATTTTGTGACCTTTAAGTTATTCCGTTTCCGGCTAGAATTACAATATTTCAGGCCGGAATGCTGGAATTTATTTTTTACTTTTTTTTTTTTTTTTTTACAACATCTGACAGACTGTGTTAGTTAAATCAAAAAATTATTGTCCTACAGGGCAAATAAGTAAATATTTAGGTAAAACTAGGTAAAAAAATACAAAATTCCTAACAAACACAATGTAGATTTAGGTAAAACTACAGCTAAGCGGTCTAAAATAATGTTGTTTTTTGCTTGTTGCGCTATTGTCAGTGGAGACTTTTTAAACATTTAATTGAAATAAAAAAAGTAAAAAAAATTGCTGCCCTATACCAAACCCTCAGTAAATGTAGCAGCACTTCCTTGTAGTAGCAGGCTATAAGATATTCTATGTAGCAACACTCTCTTGTAGAAGCAGGGTGTAAGATAATTGATGTAGCAGCACTCCCCTGTAGCAGTAGGCTATAAGATAGTCTATGTACTAAAGCCAATAAAAGTTATGTATGTTTATGTTAAAAAGTCTACACTTGTAGCAAGCCTCCACAAGAATGCGCAACAAGCAAAAAAATAAAATTTTTTTAAACCGCTTAACTGTAGCTAAGTTACAGAACTTTGCCTAATTTTTTTTGCATTAATCACTTATGTAAGGATTTCTAAAAGTTTAGGAATATTGTATTGCAAAAAGAGTTGCTATCCAGTTTTGGACAACAAACAAGCTCTTTTTTCATCAAAAAATGTTACTTGCCTCTGAAAATCTCATTTTTAATGTTTCTTAACTTTTGAATTTAAATAGTTAAAAAGTATAGGATGCCTAATACAGTAAATATTTCAATTTTAACCTAAATATAAAAATATAAAACAAAGAAATAATTTTAAATATTAATATTATGTAGGTTAAAGCTTTCAATAAATAAAATTATAAGAAATAAATAAAAATAACTCATTAGATTTAAGTGAAACAATCAAATTAATGAAATAGGTTATATATATATATATATATATATATATATATATATATATATATATATATATATATATATATATATATATATACATACTTATATATATATATACTTATGTACCACGATGCTGAGGTGCAGGCTTTCACTTTCTATCTTAAAAGAAAAAATTATACAAGTATAAATATGTTTATAAAATCTCAATTGATAGCACACCTTTCTACACCAGTACGGGGTTGTAGCTCTTTTGGCTAATAGTGAAGGCTTGTGGCCTACAGTGATTAATGTGTTTATTCTATTAATTGAAATCCATTCTGTAGGTCTTATGTCTGGCTCTAGTAGCCCATAAGGATAAGAAGTGATTGTGTTTAGCTTTCTATTCACCTAATTTGAAAGTGGGCAAAAATATCATGTGACCTTACCAAATGACCAGACTAAACAAACCAATGCACTACACCATCACACCTTTAGACATTACTGCCCTACAAAATCATGAAACTAAATATTTGTTCTTTGCTATATACTTTTGTTCATAATTTTTGTTTGATCTTATCCTTGTATATATTTTCAGATTTGTGTAATTATATGTGTATGAGACAAATTTAATACAAAATAATACCACCCGAAATGCTGGTCAACAGGTTCACCAGCTGTTGGGTGGTATTATTTTGTATTAAGTGGTATTATTATGTATTTGTCAGGTAAAAAATCACCTGGTTCTAAAGAATGGTAATACTTTTCTAAATACTTATAACTTTATTTTTCTATGGTCATATAAATATGATAAAATATAAAAGAGAGGAGAGGTATATGAAGCTTTTTGTCTTACCTCCCATTATGTTATTGTTTTACTCTCATTTATCTGCTTTTGCCTATGGTTATATTATATATGGTTATATGGTTATATTATATATGGTTATAATATATGGGTTTTGCAATTACCATTGTGTTTTTATTGGGTGGTTTTTTAGTTTAGCATTATCTTAGTTACTCTCTAAAAAACATTTACAATTGCATACATATATTTTTTGGTGGTCTGTTTGTATTATTAGACCTAAATTGTGAATGCTTTGTTTTTGCTTAGTGCAAAAGCATTCACAATTAAACTCTGACCAAATCAAATGTCAGGGAATAAAAATGACCTCAGAAAAGCAAAATATATACATATTTAGAAAAGAGTCATCATTCTTTGGATTCCAATTCACTGGCTGTCTTAGTCAATTATTTGTGTTGGTATGTCAGGTAGTATTTTTTTGTATTTAATTTTTGCACTATTACGCTTCCCACACATATACGGTCTCATAAACCATTAAAAAGTCATCAGATAGTTGCAGGCTCATAATGTTAAATGTGGTACTACCAGGAATGTGTTGACTACCGCTGGCCTTTTTGACCATAGTGTTGAAGGGGTTTGAATATTTTTTTAAACCATAACTCTATTTTATCTGCCAAAAATTAAATGTGAAACTAATCAAAATGTTATGCTTTTAATTACAACATCTATTCATTATTTTAAAGTTGTGTTTAGAAAAAAATAAATTCATAACTTTTATATTGATAAATGTATATTCTTAGAGATAGGCATAATTAAATATATATTTTATAAGATTTGGGTGGTTGGAGAATACATTTATACATTGATAAATTTGATACATTGATAAAACATATTATAAACATGTTATGTTATTAGTTTTTTGTTTTGTTCGAAGGGAATAAGAATTATTTTTTATTTAATTTAAAAATTGTTCTTTATTGAATTAGTTTTTTATTTTTAATAAGTTAAAAAAACAAACTATGTAGTTGTTAAATAAATTTTTATATAATATAAATGCAGCCTAAAAATTGAATAAAGTATCAAGTGTATAACTTATATAACTTATATTTAGGTTTTAATATTGTGTGCTTGGAAGACCAAATCTATAAAAATTCACTAACCAATACATGCACTGTTGTATATCAAAATGAAAGATATTTGATTCCTCCAAAATCCTCGTTTATTGTTTCAGATTTTTCGAAGTTGTCATATTTAGCTAAACAAGGTTTATTCTAAGTAAATATTTTAATTAATATATATATATATATATATATATATATATATATATATATATATATATATATATATATATATATATATATATATATATATATATATATATATATATATATATATATATATATATATATATAATAGATATTTTTCATAAAAAGTTTGTTAAAATATTAGGCTGATAAAAACTTATTTAAATTTAATTATTTTTATTTATGTTTTATTAAGTTTTTTTTACTTATTATTATTAGATATTGTTTATGATTTGATTGTGATAGATCCTCCATGGGAAAATAAATCTGCTAAAAGAAAAAAGGAGTAAGTTGCAATCTTTTATTTTTATATGTGTTTTTTTACTTTTAAAATCTTTTTAAGTATACTTTTACTGGTGGAAGAAACCAAACCTTCCCTGGTGGAAGATCTTTTTGTTATTTTTATTCATTTATAAAAATTTTAAACTTTTGTTAATTAAATTATTATTTTTTAACTAGCAGTAAGCAACCCCTAATACGTGTTGTTAGTAAATAAAATTAAAAAAAAAACCGCGTATAGAAAAGCCTAGAAACTACTTTAAAATAGAAAAGTCTAGAAAATGACGTAATTCGACTAATAATATTAAATTAACGTATTAATATTATCAGATTCAATTTTATTTGTGAAAAAGTTAAAGTTACTATGGAAACTATTACTATGGAAAATCCTTTTTTTTTAATTAATGAACATTGAATTTTGGTACATCTGATAGTTCTTTGGTACATCTGATAAGCAACCTACTTATGCCAACATAATAGTAGAAGGCATTCGTAATAAAATTGATGTCAGTTTAAAAAAAACTTAATCAGATGACAGATTTTCTCTTTTTATACATTATGGTGTGTGTTAAAACTGTACACGGTAACTTATCAACTTTTTTAAAAATATACATAATGTTTTACCTAAATAATGACCTTTTTTCCTATAAATAATGACAAATAAAAGTTATTAATAGATTTCATACTTAATAGATATAAGTTTGTGTTTTTATTAGACTTTTAAAACTGTTTTTTTTTTTTTTTTGATAAAATTTTTTTGTTGCTGATCATATTAAAATCATTCATTAAAATATAACGATAAAAACAGTAATTTTTTTTTTCCATTTTTTTTAATTTATTGTTAGCAGTATATTATATCTGTTATACTTCAAACTCTATATTATTTCAAAGCGACATTAAAGGAATCCCAACTGCGACAAGTTGTGTTCATGTGAAACTCGTCTTCATAATCTTCACAAAATTCATAATCTTTTCTACTGAAATATTTAAAAAATATATATTGCAAACAAAATGTCATAAAAAACGAGCTTATCAATTTTTAGTTAAAATAGTTGTTTTTTGTATATAAAATTCAGGCAATTCATTTTTATTTGAGATTAAGTATACATTAAGATCTACATTTTTAGCATAATTAAGTCTACATTTGTCCAGACCGTACACCTCTTAAACAAGAAACATTCAACAACTTAAACAAAAAGCGTGCTATCGAAAATGCAGAACTATTGGCAAAAGATTTACTAAACAAATCTTTTCGGTTTGTCATCGGCAGCAAAAAAATCAAATGCATTGACACATCCAAAACAGTCAACATAAATGGAAGAGAGAGGAACCCATTCCTCAAATGGAAATCAGCAGCTGAGGTCGTTCAATCGCATCTTACTAGTTCAATATTTTTAAACAAGGCCAACTCTTCTATTAAATTATTTAAATTATCTAATCTTTCGTACTTCTAAACTAATGCAACCTCCCTCAATCCAATAAAACTCATCAAACTCTCCTTGCTTGCAGAAAACAATTCCTTTGACATTATTTTTATCACCGAGACATGGTTCAACGACCAATCAACTCCCTCTCTTCCAAACTACAACCTCTATCATTCAGACCGTCTGAACCAAATTGGAGGAGGTGTAGCTATATACTGAAACAATAAAATCATCTCAAACCAACTACAGGAATTCCTGCTACAAAAAAATATTCATTACTATTCCGAACAAGACCTCCATCTTTTGGTATCAAAGCCTTCTCAGAGATTTCAAGTGCTATTTTCCATGCCGAAACATCAGTGTTAACCAAAAAGTACAATCATTGCTGGCAATTTCAATTTCCCAGACATTACTTGGACTTCCAATTCAGTCTTCTCCTCTAGTAAAATCATTTTCAGTTGTCCATTTGTCTCTCTTCTTCAAGATTGTCATCTTCATCAAATTGTCACTGTTCCTATTTTCAAAACTGCTAATTGCACTTTGACAAACACTCTTGATCTCATAATATGTGACTCTCCATATCGTGCTAACGAAATCAACATCGGTCCTCCACTTGGTTTGTCTGATTGATATCATTGCTTTATCACCTGGCAATACAAACAGGTTTCCACTGTAAAATTATCGCATTTCAACAACTCTAAATTTATTTACAACCTTGGTAACTACAAAAAAATCAACAAAGAATTCAATAAGTTGTCTGGTCATCTATTTTTAAATACTCATATGTAGAACAATGTTACCAACTTTAGCTAAACAAATAAAATGAATGTTGTCTTTAATTCATCCCTCATATGCCGAACAAACCATCCCCCAAAAAATAACCATGGATGACAAAAGAACTTTTATCTCTGATTCGTCTTAAAAAATCGCTCGTAAAATCACATCCCTGGTCAAGGAATATAAAGAAACGAGAAAGTTTGTTAAAAAAATTAGTAACAAATTAAAAAAAGTTGTTCTTCTGAAATCCTTTGAATTGGCTCTTGCAAATGATAAGCGCAATCCTAAAAGACTATTTTCGTACATTAATAGTAAATGCTCTGTAATAAATCAAATCTCATCTATGCAAATCACCAGTTCCCGTGAAATCATTACCTCTGACAAAATTCAAATAGCTAACTCACTTAACAATCAATTTCAAGCAGTTTTTAGCAAAGAGCCATCCAATGACAATCTTTCCCATTTTTATAGTAGAAAACACACTCCTCAACAGCATAACATTTGACACTCAGGCCACTCTAATGGAACTCTCATCACTAGATATATCTAAATCACTTGGTGTAGACAATGTCAGTCCTCATATTTTACGCATTTGCTCTACCTCAATGTCTACTTCACTTACTCTCATCTTTCAAAAGTCATTTGGCAATTGTGAAATTCCAAACTTGTGGTCCAAAGCAAATGTAACACCTTTATTTAAGAAGGGCTCTAGAATCGACCCATCAAGCTACAGATCAATATCTCTCACCTCGATTCCATGTAAAATAATGGAGAAACTAGTTCAGAAGGAAATCATGCAGCATCTAAAAACAAACAATCTATCAAATAGTCAACATGATTTTTTAGAGAAAAAAGCATGCATTACAAATCTCCTTGAAACAATGGACTTCTTGACTGGAAATATGACCAGAAAACTACCAGTTGATGTCATATTCTTGCATTTGGCCAAAGCATTTGACTAAGTGCCATATCACCGAATGCTTTACAAACTAAAAATGTACTTTATTGAAGGTTATCTTCTCAATTGGATAAAAGCTTTTCTACTTTATAGGTTTCAACGAATCATCCTTGGTGACACTCAATCGAATTGGTTACCTGTGACAAGTGGGGTTCTGCAAGAATCAGTCTTGGGCCCAATTTAATTTGTGATTTTCATCAACAAACTGCCGGATGTAATAAGCAAAGAAAACACTTGTAAGAACTACGCTGATGACACTAAAATCCTGAGCATTGTCAACTCACTTGCTGCTCAACTTCAACTCCAATCAGATATTGACCAAATTGTTCATTGGACAAAGTCTTGGCTCATGGATCTAAATGCAAAGAATTGCAAGGCTATGCACTTAACCAAAAAAAATTAACTCCTTTTGAGTACTCAATGGAGGAATTGGGCCCTTGTTCAATAATGACTAGAACTACATTGGAAGCAACCACCTTTGAGAGTGACTTTTTTTTCAAATTACCAATGATCTTAAAGTAGAAACCCAATCCATCATTGCCTCATGTAAAGCAAATGAAATGCTAGGCATCGTAAAACACACTTTCCAATCTTGTGATGTTTCTTTATGGAAACAACTCTACTCCACCTACATTTGTCCTTTACTTGAGTTTGCAATTCCAGCTTGGAACCCTCATTTGGTGAAGGATGAACAAACTATTGAGCTAATACAGTGCAGAGCCACAAAAATACCAGACAAACTTAAAAAGTTAGACTACAAGTCCAGATGTTTGCAATTTGGCCTATCTACTCTAGTTGAACGTCCTAAATGAGGTGACCTCATTCAAAAATACAAAATTATTAATTAAAATTGACATAGTCAACTGGCACTTTTCCCTCATCACAATTCCAGCAAGAGCAAATCACAGAGAAAGACTTCACCAGGAAAAGTACAGCAACCATTTAGCTCGCTTCCACTTTCTATGATTTGTGTTTTGTCAATTATTTTTACTTTTGGTTTAACAAATATAAACTACTACTAATACTAATACTAATACTAAATTCATGAAACCAAATATTTTTTTTTAGTTGTATACAAATATTTTTAAAATTTAGTGAAAAATTATGCAAACGAATGATTTTCTGATTGTTGGACAAAAATACTTTATTTTTAAAAATAACACAATGTAGTTAAACAATGGTATACTGATATATAATGGTATATACAAAATGTTACACAATAATATGCTGAAACTGATATGAGTTAAAATGAGCATGAAATAAATTATCAAGTCTATAGATTGCAACTTATATTATAAAAGCTCTGAGAACCAAAATAAAATGGAGATTCGAATAATACAACACTTTTAGTTTTATTGATATACATTTATTACTTAGTTTTAATCAAAAAATTAAGCCCAAAAGTTTTTTTAAAATATTTTCTTTAATATGAACACAATTTGTCTGAACAGTTTTTTTTTTTTCAACATCTTCACTTCCAACAAGGTTGCAAGCAACCACTATTAGAGTTGGAAGTTACTGGAAAAGAAAAGATTAAGTTTATAGAGCAAGATAACAAGTTATATAAATCAGATAACAAGATAACAAGTTATATAAAGAGCAAGATAACAAGTTATATAAATCAGGAAAGCAAGATGAGCGAAGTGAATTCCAAAGAACTGATGACTGAGGGAAAAAACTAGACAAATAATAATCTTTGGAGCACTTTAAAACAGCCACAGTAAAAGGATGAGATTTAATTGAATGACGAATAACACAAGAATGAGTTTTAGATGGCACAAGAGACACTCGCTCTTTAGAGCAGTGCCAATTATAGTATATATAGAAAAGGGAAAGAGAAGTAACATTACGATGATGTGACAATTGTTGAAGGTTGCCTGCAAGAGTAGGTCCAACTATGTTTACAATGCGTTTTTGAAACTTATCTAAAAGAGAAAGGGTATCATTGGAAGATCCTCCTCAGATATTGCAGCCGTATTCCATACGAGGACAGATTTGAGATTTATAGAAATAAAGAATAAAATCCAGAGTAAGAAAGTGGTGAGCATGATAAATTGATGCAACCTTAGCAGATGCTAGTTTTGCAATTGATTTGATATATGGTTTCCAAGAAGATAGGAAGTAAGATTTAATTCTAGAAGATGAAGGGTAGGTGACTTATCGAATACATTCCATTCAAAAGTATAGGAAGATCTAGGTTATTGTGATAATGATTAGCTGAAAGTTTTTTATCTAAATTAAAGTTCACCAGCCACTGTGAGTGCCATGCTGTAGCAGAAGTGAGATTCTTTTCAAGATCAAATGAGAATATCTGGAATATCGTTATTGTAAACTAAAAAGAATGTAGCCTCAAGGGTAGAACCTTGAGGAACCCCTGAAGTTACAGGATAAGAAGATTGCTGTCCATCAAGAACAACTTTTATACTACTATTGGAAAGGAAGGGTTTAATAATCTTAAGGATGTTTCCAGATACACCGCAAGTTGATAGCTTATGGAGAAGACCAGCATGTTAAACTTTATCAAATGCTTCAGAAATGTTAAATGCAATGGCCTTAACCTCTCCACCTTTATCTAGTGCACAATAAAACCTATTGGTTATTACTGTTAGCAAATCAGCTGTGCAACAAGAAGATTGAATATTAGTGCTTAGAAAGTAAGTTATTAGATTCAAATTTAGAGATTAAGTGTTTCTTTATAAAAGATTCAAAAACCTTGCTTATCATAGGAAGAAGACTAATGTGATGGTAGTTAGACGAGTCAGATTGCTCTTCAGAGTTTTTGAAAATAGGGATAGCAGATACCACTTTTCACCAGGCCAGAAAACAAGAACAAGCAGAGTTAAATAGTTTTGAAAGTATAGGTGACAGCTCAGGAGAACACTTCTGCAAGACTAAAACAGGTATGTTGTCTGGACCACAAACTGTAGAAGAGTCAAGCAATGTTGAACAATGGATCAGTCTATTTGTCATCTATATCAGGTAGAACACAACTAGTGGAATCAAGAGATGATATTAATGAAAAGTTCTTAGCAAAAAATTCAGCTTTGTCTTTAGGTGAGGTGACAAAATCTGAACCATACAAGAGAGGTGAAATATCAGGTTTGCCCTTATTATAGATACTGTTAAACATTCTTCAGAAGTCGTGAGAGCTTAATTTTTTAGATGAAATATGAGATTTCGCAGCCTGAGAATAGTAGGCTTTGACGTTAGAAATAGCTTTTTTTCAATGGTTTCTAGCAATAGTAAACAAACTTCTGTATTTTGGAGAATTGTTTTGCTGATAGATGTTGCTAATAGTTAGCGATCGGTTTAAATTACTTTATTTCACCTAACAGTTGATAACTAAAAAATGAGAATGGTTCTAACCCTCTCATATCAAACAACAAAAGTCAAAAAAGTAAAGTAGGGCTATGTGAAAGTATACTCTCTCTGTTTACAAATTTATCATATGTTTTGCTTTGCAAACATATGATAAATTTGTAAACTAATTCAGTAGTGTTTAAAACACGACGTGCTACGCATTGTAAAGTTCTAAATGCACCAAAATCTCTGAAAAAAGTTTACTGTGAATTATTTTAAAACTGAAAATGTTCCAACTTCAACTATTTACCGCATTTTAGCATCCTTAACAACCATCATAAAAGTGGTAGTGGAAGACCAGCTTAAAAAATGAACAAGAATGGACTTCATTTTTATTATTATTATTTCATTCATCATTTATCATCGGAATTTCGGCTTTGCTTCATGGTGCTTTCAACAACATTGATTCAATAAGTCAACGAGACGCTGCAGAAAAGGTCAAGTGTAGGCAGCCTTATATCTGCAAAACAATGAAAAAACAAGATACAGTATGTCGGACAAAAAAAACAAGAGCCTTGAAATGCACTGAGTAACAAATTTCACCTGTGAAATCTCAATTCTGCTGGATGACCCGAAATTGCTCTGGAAAATGTTTTGTTTTGGATAACAGTTTGTTTTGGAAGTTACTTCGCTTTCTCCAAAACCCAAATTCCAGGAAATAATGTTATTATGCAAATAAAAGTTCTACAACACCTCCAAAAGTAAAAAACAAGCATAAACATAAGTTATATGTGATATAAGTTATATGCTTAATTTGAGCTTTTATATATAAATATATAAATAAACATGATATGGTCGTAAAGATTTCTTGAAACACCTTAATAACCACCAAAATAAAAAAAAGTTTAAAGAAATAAATCTAATTATTTTCTTTAGCTTTAAAAGTTAATTAAGAAAGTATAAACCCTATGATAATATTGTAGACATGAAGAATATTTTTAACATAACTGAGTCGTTGAATATCTGAAATCACCTGTAGTTGAATATAGGATATAAAGGAATAAATATTGTTGTGTATTCAGTCAATATTGCAAAATTATAACAGATGTTTTTAAACATTTCTGTAACTATTTCCAAGATTTTATTAGGCATTATTTCTTTAAAAAGCACCAGTCAGATCAATACTGTAGTATAGCTCTGTTTCAAAGTCAGAACAATACTTTAGTATTGTTCTGTATTAAAGTCAGAGTAATACTCTAGTAATGCCCTGGCTTTAGGATTTAAGTTTTTAATAAAAATTAAGTTAATTATTACTTTATTTGCATTTATCAATTAATTGTTATCAATTAATAAATGAAATTATAATAATATGATTAATAATATGAAAAATTATAATTAAATTTATTATAATATTTGAAATTTACACTTTTATTAAAGTTTTTTTTTAAGTATGGTACTAAAAATGTAATATATTGTTTATATGTATATTGAAACAGTGTCAAATGTCTTTTGACTGCTTATAACAAACATATATAACATAGTTTTATGATTATGCAATTTTTCTAGTTTGCGTATGATACTCTAAAAAGTTTCATTTTTATAGAAGTTAGTTTTGTAATTATAAAAAGAAAAAATATTTTTATTTATCATATATAACGATTATTACAAAATTTTTAGTTATACAACTTTACCTGAGTATGACTTAAAAAAGATTCCTGTTCGAAGATTGTTGAGTAAACATGGAATTGTGGCAATTTGGGTTACGAACAAACCAAAATACATTGACTTTGTTAAACACCAATTATTTGTTGAGTGGGGAGTAAGGGTTGTAGCACACTGGCATTGGGTCAAAGTAAGTGGTTCTCGTTACCTGTTTTTTTTTTCAGTTACCAATTATATAGCAGTTTCTGAATAATGATTCCTTATTTAAAAAATATTTATAGTATTAAATAATCTTATATTCATAACATTAACTATCAATTATTATTTTTTTATTTGACTGAGAATAATGAAAACAGATTTCAAAATAAAATGTTTTTATAAAAGCTAATTAAAAAAATTGTAAACAGTTTTAAAGATAAAAAGTAAAAAATAATAATATAGGTACTATAGGTTAACCTTTTGTTAGATATTTCTTCAATTGCTTGATTTTGTTAGATTTACTTATCATGGTAAATAGTTAAATTTACTTTATATGGTAATTATGTGGTAGTAGATAACACTCTGCAGTCAAGTTGTTTGAGGTTCAAACCTACCCTGTGTCTCTTGAAGTATCACACTCAAACTGTTTCTCTCAATAGTAGTTTTGTTTAAGTTTTATGTTTTTAAAAAGATTGAGAGAAAAGTTGCAACTAAAATTTAAAAAATAATAAAAATAGCCTTCTTGAATGTTGTGTCTCTGAAACCTTGGGAAGTTGATTATAATGATAATAATAATTTGTCTAACTATTGTATAAGTTAGTACTTTCGAAACCATCTAAAAAGTCTAAATATTGTTTTTCAGTTAAAAGTAACATTTTGTTGTTTTGAAACTCAAATCTGAATTGTTTTCTTTTTACTTTTTTGAAAGGTTTTTTTAATCAACAAGTTTTTTGCCTTTAAATTTATTTAAGTACAATCATTATGGATTGTTTTTCTAGGTTTCTCTTTTCTCTTTATTGTTTTTCTAGGTTTCTCTTATGGTTGCTTATTAGTATACACAAAAAGGCATTGTGAATATTATTGGTACTGCTCCATATTATTATTGTCTGTTTTTATAATCTGTCCTTTTCTTTTTTTCTGTCACATACAACTTCTGTCACCAGTTTAAGCAAACTCATTCACATCATCATACAGTTGATTCTATTTATATACTACTTTCTTTGAGTTGTCTGAGGTTTGTACTTAGAGGTGTCTAAAGTGTTTATTCTGAGGTGTCTAAAGTGTTTATTCTGAGGTGTCTATTTTGAGATTTCTGAGATGTAAACTTTTTGGTTTTATGAGTTTAAAGTGTATCTTTATTAATAATAGTTTGATGTATTAATAAAATGTATTCTGGTTATTATATAAATTTTATTGTTATTATATTTCATAAATTAATGTTTTCAGGTGACAAATGATGGAGAGTTTGTTACAGATTTTTCTTCAATACACAAACGTCCCTACGAACCATTGTTATTAGGACAAAGAGAAAATTGTGAGCTTAGATTTTGCGAAATACCTGAAAGAAAAGTCATTTGCTCTGTTCCGTGTAACATTCATTCAAGAAAACCTCCATTAAATTGTATGATAAAAAATTTTTAAGTAACTGAAAATGAAAAGAATGACTAATCACTTTATTTCTAATTTTTTTTTGTTTTATTTTATTATGCTTTAGTCATTCTATCATCCTATGTTCCTGAAAATGCATTATGTCTTGAGATGTTTGCTCGTAATTTGCTTCCAGGCTGGTTGAGTTGGGGAAACGAGGTAAATATCCAAGAGGATTTTATTTTGGAATCACTATAAGATCATTTAAAAAGATGTCATGTTTTCATTACATTACTGTTTATGTATATGAACTTCTCCCGGTTTTTTCATAATGTGCTGTATTGCTAGAAATGAACTAGAAAAGACTTGATTTCATATATATATATATATATATCTGTGTGTATATAATTTTTTTATTGTTTTGTTGTTATAGGTTTTGAAGTTTCAGAATTCTAAATACTTTTGCAAAAACACATCAAGTTAGCTTACCTTAATTGACAATTAAGTTTCAAAAGGAAAAATATTTTTATGTTTATATTATTTTTTGTTTATTATTTGTCTATTAAATTTTTCATGAAGTGTGTTGTATTTTTAATAATAGTTAGTTAATTATTATGGGATATTTTATTGTTAATTGCATTATCTTTTTTTTAATAAATAGTAATGACCTTGATGATGATCATGATAATGATCATGATTTTTTATTGGTGTAGTTTTTAAATATTTTTATTTATTTTAAATTAAAGAATCCATTTATATTTTAGTTTAGACAAGAAATAATAAATTAATGGAACAATAAATAAAAGTATTTTTATTATTCTTTATTATGTAATAATTTATAAATTTTAAAATGTATTTTGTATTTTTTTAATATTTTTTTGTGTTTTATTTTTAGTGGCAGGTGCAAAGGCAAAGTAAGTTATTTTAAAATATGTTTTTAAATAAAGTAATTGTAATTTTTTTCTCAAAAACAATATTTTGTGTTTAAGTATTTTTCTCCTATTTCTTGCAGATATATGATATTTAAATGTTTACAATATTTTGTATAGGTTTTCATACACAAAGAAATTAAGTTACTTTAAGAAAAAAAAAAAAGTTTTTAATTATTTGTATTCAGAAAGTTGCTGAAGGTTCCTTATCCTTAGAAAGTTGCTGAAGATTCCTTAGAAACCATCAGCAACTTTGTTAAAAGTACAAAATGTTTGGACATTAAAAAATCATTCAAGATCACAAGCTCACATCTGAAACCAACATGTTGTCAAGATAGTGTAGAAATTGAGAAAGTAAAAAGTTCCACACAAAAAACATTTTTTTCAACAACCCATTGAGACAGAAGATTTGAATTCGCTAAGAAATGTGTAAACATGCTGTTATCATTCTGAAAAAAAATTGTTGGACTGATGAATCAAATTTTAATCTAGTAAATTTATCCAGATTCAACAAAAAAGTGATCCAGATACAAAAAGAAGTGAGTTGAATCAATGTAAAATTGACTTGTAGAAGTTGTAGATAAATGTGGTCCAACTCAATATTAAAAAATAAATGTGGTCTAACTCAATATGAAAAAGTAAATGCAAGCCAATTCAATATTAAAATATATGTGGTCCAACTCATTAAAAAGTCAAAAAAATCTCTAAAATCTCTTTAGCTTTTATGTAAAAGTAAAACCAAACATTTTCTAGTCACTTTCTTAGATTATCTGTAAGTTTTAACCAGTTGTACCTATCAATGAAACATAAAAAAATTTAAAATTTGAGCTCGTTAGTAAAAACAGTTGAAAAGTTATGGTGCTTTGATATTCAGCCTAAAATATCTACTTTTTACTGTCTGCCATTATAGAATTTGTAGTAGTATATTTTAATGAATAATTGAAGTTCTCAGGTGAAAAAGAAAAGCAAAAATTGGTACCTGACCATTTTTATATATAACCAAAATCAAACTTTTAAATGGTCACTTTTTGATTTTAAAATGGTAAAGACAAATTTTCTTTTCATTACCAAGAGTTGCACTTTTACTATTGTTATCCAACTCTCATGGGTTCAAAAAAATTTTCATGCAAAAAAAAAATGTTAAGCTATCCTAATATTGAATTAAGTATGTCAATGTGTAAAAGTCTGAATATAGCCTTGTCAATAAATGCTGCAGAATGTTGCAAGTTTAAAAATTGAAGTTTAAAAACTATTGAGTTTTAATTTGAAATTCAATCATGGCAGGCAGACAACAGCAGTGGCGTACCTACAGGGGGGGGGGGCTCACTGCCCCGGGTGTCATCCACTTTTGGGTGACACCCAATTTATTAATATCTTATGTTTTATTTTGGTTTATAATTAAACAGTCTTACATAAAAAAATAAGTGGGTATTTATTTACACGACCTACGAAATCCTGAATGCTGAAAGATATAGTTATCATTATTTAGAAAATATAATCGCTTAGCTTTCTTTCTTTCAGTAGGTTTGCTATTTTATTATTATACTTTACTGTCAAATCAAATCCAGGTACTACTGTTTTTTTAAGCATATAAAAGAATAAAGCTGATTTTAGACGATTTTAGATGATAATAATTTATTATTGTCTAAAACAGAGATAATAATTATTTGGCAACAATTTATTTTCAAATAATTATTTTCTCTGTTATAGATGAGAATTATTTATAGAGAGTTATAGACACTAAATTATTATTGTCGAAAACAAGGTTTAAAATTACATGTGTCAACATTTCTAAATACTGCTTTAATAATTTTGTATATAAAAATAGTTGCATATAATATATGGGTGACACCCTATTTGCTGTTCCGGGTGACACCATAACTAGGAACACCACTGATCAACAGTGTTCTGTTAGAAAGTGAATGTCATCTAATAACAAATTCATCATTTCTTGGAATTTAATCTCTAAAAGATATTCCTAAATATGAAAGAAATATCAATGTTGATAACTGGTCTAATAATAATCAATCTTAAATTAAAACATTTTGTTTCTATTTGAAGTGCAACTAAACTAACACAATACTGCAATCCATTTGATATCCATAATCCAATTAATACCCAAACAACTAAAAAAAAGTATTTATAGCAGTCAACTTTTATTTATCAAATTTGCTTTTTGAAAGTGTTAAGAAATAATAAGATTGTTGTCAAGTTTTATTTTTGCTTTATATAAATCTTATTTTTAGCTAATCTCTGTTGAACTTAATTGCAAAGTTGAATACTAGACAACTTTACTTGAGATGGCTTTGTTAACGTTTTTAAAGACATTAAAAGCATTTATTCTATTTTATAGACAGTCTTTGTAAAATTAACTTGGATACAGCAATGTTCTTATGCAGTACGAGCAAATTAATAGGTAAAAAGCTTTGTCCACATTGTTGACATGAATTAGCATCAAATGAAGAATCAGAAGATAATGCAATATGATGTGGAGAAAAAAATTATGGTGGATTCAATAAGATCAATACTCAACTAAACTCTGTTTGAACTTGAAGTTTCCCTTTAAAGGCTCATTTAAGCAAAACCTCTAAAAGGCCTTTACTCGGTAAGAGAAAGATAAAGCAATTTAAAGAAACAAGAATAAAAAACTATTCTGGGTCTCTTTAAACCGCTGCATCAATTAACACAGAAGTACTAAAAGAAATTTGAATCAAAGCTAATAATCTTTTCTTGCTGAATGATAGAAAAACTTTCATTTTCATGCTGCTAACCGAAGGCAGTAACTTTGAAATTTGACATTGACCTTAAAATTTAGGGTCAATGTCAAAACTTTTTCTGTTTTTGTTTATCACAAAAACAGAGAAAAAGCTTTGAGACTCCAAAATTAAAGTTCAAAAGGCAAAGTTGTTATTTAACAAAATAGGCATTCTAGCATACCTTAATGTGGTTAGACAGCATTAAATCAGCAAAGATATTTCAGAACTTGTAAAAATTTTTTTATAATTGTGATGATTTGGTATATTGAAAAAACAAAAATTTCATGTTTTCATGTTTAAAATACACCAAAATATGAAATTAATGTTGATTCGCCTTGAAATGTTTAACAATAAAATCATTGAAATAATTGTCTGCAATATAGAGTTAAAAGTTTGCATGGTTTGCAGATGCAACAGTTGTCCTGGCAACAGTTGTCCTGGCATACAAGCTGTCTAAAAACTTTCAACAGTATTTGACAAAAAATGATGATTCAGAATAATTTGATATAATTGATAGTAACAAAAATGAACAGTCAGCAGATTTCAAACAACAGATAGAAATAAGCTATTGAGTGTATAAAGTTTGATATAATTACTTGTCATTCATTTATCATTTTATTACTTCTCTTTTAATTTATCATAAATTACAATAAAGCCATCTAAACTATCTTAAAGAAGCTTATTGATCCTGGCATTGATGTTGATGTTTATTGATGAGGTCCTGGCATTGATGTTGATGTTTATTGATGAGGTCCTGGCATTGATGTTGATGTTTATTGATGAGGTCCTGGCAAATTTATTTGTGCATTTTAATGCTGAATAAATGGAGCTAGTATGAGCAAACTTGTTGATTGATTTTCTATCTTTCAGTAGTTCACACCTTTTCCATCGATCATAAAGATCTATAATAGAATTAAGCAATATTTAGTAATACAAAATGAATATAAAATTACCAATGATTTTGTTCTAAGATTTCACTTCCTCAATTAAAAAAAATTGTAAACTATGTTATGTTGTAAACTATGATATCTCAATAACCAATTTGTAAAAAATTTGCTACTTTGCTTGCTTTGTATCGTTTTTGAAATTAATAAATATAATGATGATTTAATAGTAAAGTTCATGCATCTACATTTATTAAGTTAGTTAACTTGGTTGTACTACTGGTCAAATTGAAATGATAATTGCTGGATGCTAAAAATAAATGTTGTTTCTCTTGTTAAAACATTGTCAACATCTTCTGGATGTCAGTACCACATTTCGAAAAAATGAAACTCTAGTTAATCAGCTTTTATTTTATTGTTAAAAGTTCATTCATATTTCTTTTTTATAATTAACAATGATTGTTTAAATGATATAAACATTAACCATAATATAAATTTTTCAAAAAAAACTGTATTTTAAAAGCTCTACTCTATATAAAGCCATTATAAATTTATGATCAAGAAACCATTCCTTTCAATAATCCCTTAAAACCAAAGACTTGCATTTGCTAAAAAAATATAAATTGTCATTATCATCCTAGAAAAAAGTTTAGTGTACTTACAAGTCAAAATTTAATATTGTAAAGTACAATGAAGCTCAAAGAGTATGGAGAAAAAAAGGTGAAGTTCAGTTGGATTAGAAAACTCAGTTGCGTTTGAAGAATAGTAAAATTTGGTGGAGGCAATGTTTTGGTCTGGGGATCGATAGCTTGGAACCAAACAGGAAAACTGGAGTTTATTGATAGGATTAAGATTGAGATTTATGTCAACATTCTCAATAAATCTTCTGGCCTCAACTGAAAAATTGTTGAAAACATTTGTGGTAAATGCAAATTGTAGAAAATGTTTTATTTTTCAACAAGACAACCAGCCTAAGCATATGTCAGGAAAGCAAAAGAGTTATTCGAAAGCAGATTAAGTTACATGAATGACCAATTCTTAAAGTCCAATTCTTAAAGTCCAGATCTTAATTCAATTGAACACCTATGGGCTATTTTGGATCAAAAGTGTGGCACAAGATGTTGTAAATGAAAACAGAGTTATAGATCATGCTCCAAGAAGCTTACAATCAACTTGATCCAAATACATTAAAGCATTTAGTAAATCAATGCCAAATCAACTTGCAGAGGTCATAAAAGCTAAAAGCTCAATATTGAAAAGTCAAAAAAACTAATTACTAGGAGAAAATTTCATCTTTAAAATTTTGTTAGAATTAACTAACGTTTTTTATACTTTTTACAAAAGGAAATAAATGTATAATAAAAATATAAGAATAGTTATTAGTGATTTGAAATTGTTTAATATGATTAAAGCGTTGAAAAATCTTAACAATATTTATTTGTATAATATAAAAAATTTTTGTAGGAGAATTGTGGTGCGCTTAGTAAGCATGGCAGGTACTGGCTACTTTTACACAACCACACGAAATCGTTTAAAAGATAAACTGACATTTCTTAAGCACGATCCCATAGGTTAGTAAATTATGTTATTATTTTTGACAATATGGTGAGTTTCTGATATATTAAAGATGACTTAAGTGATTATACTTTGTGATTAAGTTTTTTTATTTTACACTTATTGTGTTAAGTTGATTAAATGAGCATTTCTTGTTAAAATTTCTGCTTATAAAAAATTAATTAATATAAGTTCTTATTTGACGATACTAAGTAACACAGACTTTTTTAATTTTGGTTAGAACTTGGGTGACCAATAAAGGTCTTTATAAAAAATGTCTTCCCTCTGATTTTGTCTCTGTCTTTGTAGAAGTAGTGTTATGACTGTCATTTCTGTAATGGCTATTTATTTCTGATAAAAATTACTTGCATCATTCAAATAATCTTTTATTGTGGTCACACTCATAATATTTAAAGCAAAGTTTCAAAAAATAAGTTATTAAGTGTGCTCAAACTGAGGTTTTTAATTTAATGTTTTATTTTGTTATTTAATTTATTATATCTTCTATTCTAATTATGTCAAATAGTAACCAATATTTAAACATCGGCATCAAAGAATTTGTATTTACAGATAATTTAGAGACTTTAATAAAAAATCTAGCATAATGAGCAGACTCAATGTTTCGGATTTTGTTATTGAATGTGAGAAGTAGCTTGCCATCAGCTCTTATCTATCTTCCCTAACAATATCATGTCTCTTTTCTATCTTCCCTAACAATATCATGTCTTGATCAGTATGTCCTGCAGTAGGTGAGAGATTCTGTAGCAGCTTTGCAACTATTGTTTCTTAAACTTTTTCACTATCAAAACATTTGCAGTTTATACACATTATTAAGTTGCTTAAACATGTTTCTGAAAGTTTTAAACTTGGATATATCAGGGCCGAAAATTTGTTCATCTTTCATATTTATTGCAATTCCTAACCCAGAACATGTTGTTTGTAAAAAGATGAGATCTAGTTCAACCAGTTTTGTCTAATTTAAAAAGATTAAGTAATCCTCTATGAATTCTTTTTTTTATTGTTTGACGTTGTATTGAAACAAACTAATCCAATATTTAACTCAAGATTGTATTGCCAATGACTTTGATTACTCAATTTATTATCTGATGAAGATTAATAGATCTTCCAAGATGACAAATCGAGTGATGTAACACCAAAAGCATGTGAATCAACGTTTGTGAGAAGTTTTTTTAACAAAGTTAAAGTTGCTTTTGTGCTACATTCAATATCTTCTTTAAGATTCAAGAGTTGTGTCATCTTTCTCTAGCAACAAGATTTTAGAGCTGATTGTTTCCTCTTTCTTTAGCAGCAAGATTCAAGAGCTAGTTGTTTCATATTTCATTAACAATAAGATTCAAGAGCTGGTTGTTTCATCTTTCTTTAGCAATAAGATTCTAGAGCTGAATATTTTATTTTTCTTTAGTTTTAATTTTTCACTTTTTTCTTTTTTTAATTTTTTTTCTTCTATTACTGATTGTTTTACCTTTCTAAATACTTTTAACTTTCTACAACTTGCGTAAAATCAACACCATTAAACTATTATGACTTAAAGCAGTAACATTTGTCAAAACATTGAACTTTATCTCCTACTCTTGATTGCATAAAAAATCTAGTTCCTCTATTTGTCTAGTTCTGATCATTGATATATTTATAAAAATGAAATTTAAACTTTTTTTTTTTTTTTTTGTTAATGTTTATTATCTTAAAAGCCACTAAACCACAACAGTTGAAGAGGCTACTTTAATTATATTTACCATGATCTCCCAACTCTAAAACTCTGAAACACAAATCTTGACAAACAAGGATGCTGCGTGCAGAAATAAGTTGAGCTCGGTACTACCAGGGATGTGGTGCAATTGATTTTTCCTATAAGTTGCTTGCAGTTTGTTAAAAATATTGAATAGTTTAAAACTCTTTTTCAGTAATTTATTTTTTTTATAAATATACATTAATACTTATCTTACAGAAAGACATTAGTTTTAATACTTATCTTACAGAAAGACATTAGTTTTAATACTTATCTTACAGAAAGACATTAGTTTTAATACTTATCTTACAGAAAGACATATTTATAAATTACTTACTTTTATTTTACTCAAACAATGAGCATAACGATATATAATTATGTAAATGATAAAATTTGAATACCAACCAACGGAAAAAGTGTATACTGAAACTTTTATTCAGAAAGTTTTCTTAGTATTTGTGTTCTTTAAAGGATGGGTCTGTCATTGTCTTTGCTATCTTTTTAACTCAATTTAACTGTCTCTGTTTAACTCAATTTAATTGTCTCAATTTAACTCAATTTAACTGTCTATGTTATCTTTTTATAACTGAATTACTTCGGACTTTAGTTTAATTTTTTTCTGTTCTTTTTAAACTCACTTATTAATCGATTGCATCAAGTTATGATGCTCTATAATGGGCTAAACTTGTCTTCTACAGGTATGCGCACGCAGCCTCCTTGTAGCAATTATTTAGAGTAGTAAAAATCACACAAAATTAAGTTGCTTAAAAATGTTTACACAAAATTAAGTTGCTTAAACATGTTTCTGAAAGTCAATTTAGACAGTATGTGGCACTACATTCCAGACTAGTTTTAATTATTTTTAAAAACTGAAATAAAACAAGTAATAATTAACCAATTTATTAGATTCTTTTTTTAAATTTTGGCAACATTTTACTTGATATGGAACCCTTCGGCCTCAATCATGAACCCTAACCCAGAAGCTATTGCATGTGTTCAGGATGAAGTTGGTAGGCATTTGGCCCTACCACTTCTCGATAGAGGCTTTGAGAGCTTCAATACTTTTATGGATTTTTGCATAGGCCTTTAACTTAACATATGCCTATATAGTGGATTTTTGTCTAACAAGCTAGGGGGCCAGATGTCCTTGGGCCAGATATCAGAATGTTTTGTTTCAGCCATTTCTGTATCTTCTTCAAGTTGTAATACAGTGACTTGATTCAGTGACATGTGTTGACGTGTGATCCAGTGACATGTTCATCCAGTGACATGTTTATCTAGTGACGTGTGTTCAGGATTTGATAAAAACTAGAGGCATTTTTTTTTTTACCATCTGATGAAACAAAGCAAAAAAACCATTGCCGATGTCGGGTGCTTTGTTTGAAACTTAAACCTGATCTCTTCTGAAACTTGTTTAGGTGTCTGAATCAATATGTAGTAGTCTGTTCGGCTGTTTGAGACAGTTGACTTTAAACAACTTCTCGTCCAGATAGTATTATTGGCATGCCTTATCTTAGAATATTACAATTTTTTTTTTACATAATTCAAGTCTTTTGGATTTTAAAGGGTTTGTAATCAAGTGCCTCTTCGCCCTGGCTCTTGACTTGGCCTTGAGGTCCTGCTTTAAACCCTTTGAATCGTTTTCTTACTGACAGATAACTTCTTGATCATCTTCCAGATTGATTGGAGCAGAATTCTTCTGGTTCCTTTGTTAACGACCTTGAAGTTTATAGGTCCTGGCCGACTTTTTTTCTTTTAGCAAAATTACATTTGTCTCGTCCGGACTTGTTAAAACGGCAAATTGCATCATAAACTGCTTTTAGGCCATGCCCAACTGCACCGTGATCTCCTTTGGTGAGACGCCATTCAAGTACAGCTTGATTATTGAGTAGTTTTGGCTTGACATGTTAGCAATATTAACGTTTTTTTGTTTGTCTATTTCATTGATCCACAGAAATCTAAAAGTTAAAAAATTTTTTTTTTCCTTATTGCCTTAAATGAAAATTAAAGTAAACTTTGCTTAAAAGATTTGTGTTACGGTTGCCAACTACGTAAATCTATATACCGGGAGAGATTTATAGTATATATTTGATAACGCAATCAATTTTTCTAGCGGTGTGGTTAGTTATTTCTATGCTAAATGGCTTGCAGTTTTTTTCATTTACACTGAGGAATAAAGTTATTTTAGATTTATTATAATATAAATAATTAGATTTATTATAATATAAATGATAAAGATATAAATAATTTTTTGTTGTTGTTCGCAACATGGCATTTGACATTGTTAACCTTTTTGTTACAATTTTTTTTTTTTAATTTTACTTTTTGTTAGTTTATTCACACAAAAAAAAATATATTATGAATATATTTCCATGAACTTATAATTGTTATTGTTATTATTATTATTCATTTATTTTATTCTACAGATATTTTTATAATAGTTTTAGCAAATTTTTTTAGTGAACAAGCACGTCTTATTCACGGAACAAAAAGTTGTAAAAGGTGAAAAGAAGACAAAAGCCGGTGGAAGATGAATTTGGGGACAAATTATGGACTTATTTTTTTCTGTATTTAAGTATTGGTTATTCAAGCATAGAAATGAAATTGTTTTATAAAAATCGTAAACTTTTGCAGTCTAATTTATGATAAAGCACGAGACTGGTGATTTTTAAGTTGGATAAAAAAGAAGTTTTCTTTCTCAAACGGTATTATCAATTTAAATACTTAAAATTTAAAATAAAAATAAATAAAATTTGCAACAACATACACAACCACAAAAATGCAAAATACGCTTTTTTTTTTAACTCCATAAGCTACAATGGAGAGGAAATTTTCTCATAACAAACATATTAAAGCAAGTAGAATTGATTCAATTAAAATTATATCCTTGCATTTGAAATTAAAGTTCAAAGCCAAAAGTCTTGGTAAAGACCGCTAGTCTCAAAGCTACATTAACCTCAACGAATCAAATTAACTTCAATTCTTTAACTAAAAGTTTGAAATCAAGTACTAACAATGTTTGTTTCCTTTTAGTAGACACAATGTGAAATATTTAGTTTTTTAAAATAATTAAAATTTTTAACACAAGGTATTAAAGGCATATTGCAATGTTTGAGTAACTTATAGGTATTGCAGTTTCGTACAAAACCCTGAAAATCCAGTTCTATCTTTGAAAAGCTGTTCAAAGTTTTCAAAATGCGCAATAATTCACTGACAAAAAATAAGATTTAATACAAGTCACTCAAGAAAATATATTTGAGAAGCCGTGGTGCAGTGATAGCGCACTACCCTCAAAAAAATAAGATCTGTGGTTCAAACCCCACCTTAAGGGACATCGGTTGGAAAGGAGGCGTAAACTTCCTATTAAATACTCTTCCGCGTTGCTCTATGATAAGACCGTAAGGATTTCTTGGGGTACCTATAAAAAAAAAATGCTCTTGTATTACAAATAGTTAAGTTTAAAATAAAAAAAACTGACTAACCCGCATAGAAATTTCTATTCAATGTTTGAATTAAAATGTTCCAATTCAAAAATACAATTTATTTTAAAAATTAACAATACGTTTGCCAGAGTTGCAGTCTTCACGCGCGTATGTTCGTAAAAGTCTTTTACACACAAAAATACGACATAATAATTGTTATTAGCAATATTATTAATAAATAAAAAATTGGGGCTTTTTAAACCAAAAGGTGTACGTTTACTGCTTTAAGTTAAGAATTTGGATTTTAAAATACCCTAAAGCTAAATTTCACGATTGAAAAGAAAAATTATAGGTAACAAAAAACAGCTTTAGTTTTTTAAAACATTTACAAAAAAAACTTTGTGTAAAAGTAATTTTTCATTTTCAAACTTTTGTATTTTGAAACTAACTTTTGATATTAAATAATAAATTTTGATAAAAAAATATTGGTACTGATTTGCAATTTCATTTTTTTTTAAATATGTTGGCGGTAAGGTTTCATCTTACATATTACTCTCTTTACTTATTGTTTTTTTGATTCTATTGATAAGTAGATGTAATTCTTTAAATTTCTCGCGTTTCAAATGACAGAATTCCTAATAACTTGATATCAGTATTTTATCAGGAAAATCGAAAGCGATCAACATTGCAAAGTTATGCAGAAAATTCAAGATGGTGTAATTGGTTTAAAAAAGATAAAACTGTTTTTCGAAGGAAAAAAAATAATGTAAAATCAAAAAACTATCAACAGATAATCTATCAAATCAACAACTTTTTTCTATACCGTGTTAACTGCAACTGGTAATATTTTATGGAAACATAATAGTGCTCAGATATTATTAGCTAATAATGCAGATATAATATAAGTTCTAATACAGGATAGTTTGATTGTTGACAAATGTCAACTAGATTAATGTTAGATGATTAGTCTGAAATGTAAAGGGTTACATTCCACACTGATCATCTATCATATATCTGATTGACAAAGCTGCTCTTTTGACCATTCAAAAATGCCTTTCAAAATGTTATTTTACTGGCCGACCAACCTTGATTATTAATTATTTTAGCATGCTTGATGATATATCCTAAATAAATAATAGATCGATGATGCATATATAAAAGATGTTTGAAAAACAGTAGACAAGAACTGTTTGTTAAGTTGGTAGGGATGCATATAAACTACTTTCTGAATTTCGTCAGTGTAACTTTTTTTAGTTTATTAAAACTGTTAAACACATTAAGAGAAATAGTTTGCATAAAAAATATTTTTCATTTTTTAAATAGAAAATCCATAATGGCGAAAAATGTGTTAACTTTGATCCTTACAAATGATGTTTTTCAAACACGATATCTTGATAATAATAATAATAATAATAATAATAATAATAATAATAATAATAATAATAATAATAATAATAATAATAATATATTTTCTGTTGAGGGTTAACGCCAAGTCAACCCTATGACAGGCTCAATTAACAGATCTTACAAAATTTTACGAAACAACTTAAATAAAACCAAGAATTAGCTTGCAAAACACAGCTTGTCTATTTTCGACTTAAACTCATTAACGGACTGCGATTCAACAACTGAACTAGGCAGTTTTAGGGATTGCAATCCCGCATTGCGTGATCCCGCAATCCCGCGGGATCCCACATTATTTTAGCGCATGCGAGATCCAGCAAAAACTACTGCGGGATCCGCGGAATTTGCGGGATCCGCAGGATTTGCTGAGTTTTGAAATTATTGCTTTTAAATAGAAAAAAAGCAATTCTGTAAACAAAGACGAAAAAGATATCAAATTAAAGTATTTAATGTATTTGCATAACAAATTCATTTAAAAGTTTACTATTCATTAAGTGCACAATGGAATGTATACTGAGAAACTCGTTCTAATTTTTTTTGAAATTTTTGCTAATGAGTATAATGAAATTTTTGTTGATGAGTATGTTGAAAACGTTAAATTGAAAACGTGATTAATAAAAAGCGCACTACTTTTTAAAAAGACTTCAAAAATTATTTACATCAAGATTTTAAAACAAAAGTACCTACTAAGCATGTCGCAAATTAAAACTATATGGAATTATTTTAAAAAGAGTTATAAAGGAGAAAATGCGAAGTGCATGTTATGTTCGGCTATTTTAAAAATTAGTCAAAGATCAACAAAAGGATTATTAATCCATTTAAAAACTAAACATGGAACTGATTTAAAATTAAACGTTTTACAACAAGACGGAGCTTCAACTTCAAAACAGCATGAATCAGTTGAACTAGAGTCTAAAATATACATTGACTGCGAAGACGAAGAGGTAATTCAATCAAAAAAGATCAAAACAATAGACACGTTTTTCGTAAAAGAACTTTCTATGGAAAAAATGGTATCGCGCATGGTTGCTAAAGATGGCTTTACATTTAATAGTTTTTGCACATCTTCAGATTTGCGGTATTTGTTTTCAAAGAGTGGTTTCCGGCTCCCTACTTCACCTAATACTATAAGATTGATGGTAGTAAAATTTTCAGATTCTGTAAAAGCCGATATTATGCAAAAATTTATATCACTAAAAAAGCAAAATCAAATGTTTTCAATAACGTTTGACGAATGGACATCACAAAATAGTCAGAGATTAACTTAAATGTACATATGGAGACAAAACACTTTAATCTTGGATTGATTTGAATCCATGGATCGTGTAATGCAGAATATTGCGTCAAGTAAGTTGCAGGAAGGCTCAATATCGACCTCCAAAAAGACATTATTGCCATGACCACTGATAGAGCAAGTGTGATGGTGAAAGTCGGTAAAAAGATGTTTTGCTATCATCAAATATGTTATGCTCATGGAATACAACTTGCAGTTATTGATATCTTATACAAGAAAAACAACGGAGAAGTCGAAGAATCGTTTACTACAAATGAAAATTGCGAAGAAGAAGATGAATATGAGAACACTGATGATGATGAAGTTATAAATAAAGAGTATGGTTTGACAATAATTTTGGACCGACCATCTGCTGAATTGGTTAGCAATTACAAAGATCTCATGAAAAAAGTGAGAAAGGTTGTGAAAATATTTAAAAACTATCCTGTCAAAAATGATATATATTTACAGAAGTATATCCTACATGAACACGGCAAAAAGCATAAGTTGATTCTTGATTGTAAAACTAGGTGGAACAGTATGTTCGATATGTTAGAAAGATTTCATAGTCTTAAAGTGTGTATTGAAAAATCTTTAATTGATGTTGGGTCAGAAATTCGTTTGACCCAAGAAGAATGGTCCCAAATTAATGACTTAATTATTTGTCTGGCACCCTTAAAACTTGGTCTCGAACTATTATGCAGGAGAGAATCGAACCTTGTCACTGCGGAAACAACTTTTAAATTTATGTTAGATAAATGACAAAAGCAATCATCACTTTTGAGCATTGATTTAGCCGCGGCACTTCGTGAGAGGTTTACACAACGTCGCAATAAGAATTTAAATGGACTAGGGTAAACTGACCAAATTCGAGCCAGTGACCAAATTCCAGCCACATTTTAAATTTATTATTTCTGTCTTGTTTTCTGCTTTATGTTTGTAAATGCTACTTTTTTGAGACTGGTATGAATTCAGCCAATAAAAAAAAGCATTGTTATAGTTGGCGGCTGTTTATAATATAATAGAATAATAGAAGTAACATCATAAAAAATATTTATCTCAAAAAAGTACTACTTTATATTTAAAATATCATGTAAGCATCCAGTTTGAAGCTTATAAATATTAAATATTTATTACTTAACGAAATGTTAATTATTTTAAACTATAAATATATTTCTTAAAAAGACAATTTTAGCTTTATAATTATGTTGAGTCATTACTATAGATTGTATTTCTTAATTAATTGCACCTGGTAGAAAGACCAAAATCCGGCCAGGTATAAACCTTATTCCGGCCAAGGCCGAAATTAGGTTCACGAGTGTCTAAAAGTAACTCATACTTGTATGATATTTATATTATTAGATTTTATTCTTTTAATATAAGTACTTTATGTTACATTTATGTCCTAAAAGTTATCAATCTTAAATATTTGCATTTATTTAGTTAAATATTTATATAATATTTTTAAAATTTGAGGATGATGACTTAAAAATAAACAAAAGTCTAAATAATTGAAAGATATTATA